GGGGCCTCCCACCACTGCCCCTCCCTGCTGCGGTGCTGGTGCTCGCCGCCCCCCCTGCCCGCTGGAAGGTGGGGGCTGAGCCTGGCGCGGACGAGGCACCGGGGCCAGCAGCTGCCTGGGGAGGGAGCCCCAGCGTTTGATGGTCTGTGTCCCTTCAAACATGCTGGGAGCACCCTCGTACCGGGGCAGGACTCCTGGATTCCATTGTCTGTGCAGCCTCAGGTGTGTCCCTCCATGCCTCAGTTTCCCCAGCTGTAAATTGGGGCTAAGCCTCACCTTTAAACAATTACCATTGATGACGTGCACGGTGAGCTCCTTAGCGTCACGGGCGGCGGGTAATACAGGCAAGGGGAGGCATTGCCTTCCCAAAACTGCCTATGTGCCCTGGCTGCTGGGACGGCTGGAGCCGGACGGCCCCCCCAGGTGGACAGGAAGAATGGGGCTGGGGTTGGGCGGAGCTTGTGCTTTCCCCAGCTGGGCCGTCATCCGCCACATGTGGTTATTGTAACTGAGCCTCTGAGCTGTCGGCAGACTCACGGTTTGGCCTGAGAAATCCAGAGACCAAGGGGGATGTTGCACTAGGCCCTGGAGCACTAGAAAAGGGGGGTGACCCTGTGGCCTTCCCATAGGGTAACCCCAAAGCACCCATGTGGCTGGACAAACTCCGGGAGGCCTCGAGTCACCTGGCCCCCAGCTAAGCCGCATTGACTTGGAAACAGCGACGCTGACGGTTTCACAAGGGGTGCAGCGTCTCCCTTCCCTCCCTCCCAGGGCTGGACCCCTTCATCTCCAGCCCCCCAGGCTGCTCTGATGCGCCCGTCAGTCCCTTTCCTGGGCTCCCTTTGCTCCCTCCTCCCCCGCCGGGTTCATTTCACCAACACGCTCTGGTTTCCGCTCGCCACCCCGGGACGTGCAGCTCTGTCCTTTCGAAGCCTCTGCTTCTCTCGCAGTCTCTGTCCCCGCGGCCCCCGCGGTGCAGCCCCGTCCTCAGCCTGCTTCAGAGCAGGAATTTGAAAGGCCTGTCACTAGTGTTCCCTCTAATTGGTTCCATCCATGTGCGGAATAAATGTTGCTCTGTGCACCGAGGCAGGTGCAGAGGTGCACCACCAGCAGAGATGCTGCTGGCGGGGGGGGC